TGGGGCCTTAGATAACAGCATTTACGACCGCACCAGGAATGTCAGAGAAGTGTCTCTCTCTCTCTCTCTCTCTGAATTCTAACCAAGGAGGAGAAATGAATCCTGTATTCATATATATATGCTATTATATATCCACTTGAGAATTGTATGAACGATGTATCTAAGTTCCCTATTTCATGAGTTGCCTTTCGGTGGTTTGGTCTATGTTTCTCGACAAGTCTTAATTGAATAATGTTTCAAACTTTGCCAACTAATGTTTAACCAAATCCATTTGTGGCAAGTTTGGTCTCGATAAACTCCAATCTTCGTTCCCCATTTGTTAATTGACATTACATTTTGCTGAACTTTGTGACACATTAGTATTATAAGAATTGTGAAGATTCTTCTCTTAAACAACCGACGAGATTAGGGTTTCAGATGTCTCTCTCTGAAGACAAAGGATCATAAACCCAAAGCCCCGCCTGTAAACTTCCAACCCTCTAATTGGCCAAGCCAACAGGAAGAGGATGGATTTCTCCGAAAGTGATAAATGACGCCTCTCCCCTTCGCTCGCTCTCTTCCTCCCGTGTTCTCGTGTCATGATGTAACGTCTCGCCTCCGGGCGAGTTCTTCGCCTTTCTTTTATTTGTTTCTAGTTTAGTTTGTGTTTTTCAGTTGTAGATAAGTCTCTGTGTTTAATTCCAATCGACGATTGGAAAGAAAACCCGTGACATATCTCTTCAGCAAATCCATCTACAAGGGACTTTTAAACGAGCGCGCGCTCGCTTTGAAGGAGAAACACGCGCACGTGACCGCGTGACGCGCCGGACCGAGCGAAGCACGCGCTCCTTCGCCAGCCATGCACAAATGGAACATTAACTCCTCGTGATTCCTCCGTTCTACGAAGTGAAACGAACTCTGCCGAACTATTTCCTCGGGTAACGTCACCTCAAAGACGTTAAGCCTTTCAAACACTCGCGCCGAATGCCAACGAACGCCACGTGATCCCCCATGGAACAAAGGCGCCACGCGCAAGCGGCCAACCATGCACGCGCCGGGACGGGCCGTGCAAAAAACGCTGCAGCCGCGCTCCACACGACGCGCGCAAGCAGGACAGGACCTTCGTTCAACATGCAGGCCGCTCAAGGAACGCAGCAACACATGAGAGAACCCTTCCACATGCAAGTAAATTTGGGTTACCCTGTTTTCAGAGCATTAAGAATGTGTTTTCGTGTTGTTATCAGAGAGGTGAATGTCTTCCTGCCAATGAAATTCTCCCAATTTCTCTGTTCTCTCTCTCCCCATCCCCTTTCCTCTCTCTCTTACTCGCTCACGCGTGTACGTTATCCATTGTCCAAACTTTATGCATTTCTCGTTCACTGATGTCTTATTGTATTGTTCATTGTTGTCTATGTGTTTGTAAATACATATATCCCATGTAACCGTAGTAAATACATAAGTAGTCATGCCTCTATTAAATTAATTATATATTCATTAGATTGATGTGCTGTTTCTTTGCTCAATTTCAAGTCACTTAAGTGCCAAAGGTCTAAATGCTACAAGCTTTACGAATTACAGATACTTTAAAGAGTAACGTTAACGTTATGTGTTGATGGGCGGGAAACCCAATTCTTCTGGCCAGAGAATTGCGTTTCCTGACATCCTATAAAGTAAGATGATATTGTGGATCCCACAAATATTATCCTGACAATTGAGCTAATTAAATTTTACCTGTCTGTAAAACGTGATCTATGCAATCAACTTGTAGTTAAAATGCAAGGATACACGTGTGCATGCAGGTAAAATGATAGATCCTCCCCTAGAGGGAGAGTAAATTCAATGTAAGATTGATCTAATCCAAACATGTATGAATAATTATTAATTACCAATTATTAATTAATTTATGCAAATTCCCCACGGATTAGATCCGCCCTGAATCCTTACACAGTGATAACATGAAAGTAGTACAACACAGTTCAATAATATTGTTGAATATTAAATATCCCCAACTAAGCAAGCCAAAAGCAAGGCGACAGTGGCAAGGAACCAAAACTCCATCAGATTGGATGGAGAAAAAAACCTTGGGAGAACCCAGGCTAGTCAGGGGCCAGTTCTCCTCTGGCTAACAATCATAGGGTTTTAAAGAAGCTTTACAGTAAGTGCATATCAGAAAGTACCTGGAAAAAATACATTTAGTTAATCATGTAATATTTAGGGGATAACATATCGCCGGCGTTGAGTCGTCTCTTCGCAGGCGTTGAGTCGTCTCTTCACAGGCGTTGGTCTTCTCATCACAGGCGTTGAGGCATCCGAAATCCCCGTGAGAGGCAGGATACCAGGATATTAATTAAACTAAACAGCTATCTCTGAATTCAATAATGACATGCCTTTAACTGAAAATTGAATGTTTAATCTTATTATTATACATTACTGACTCTCTATCCTCCAATTTGATACTGTTAAGTGCTTTTTTGTTACAGTATATTTTAATCTTTGATAACAGTAGGTAATAAAAATACATCATGTTAGCTCTGGTCCAATTAAAAAATATAAACAAATAGAACTCAGGACATTTTTGTTCGTGTAAAATATACCTCATTGTCATGTTCTAGACTTGTTATATCTAGCTTTAAATTAAAAAAATACCCCCTTAATATTGTGGCAGCTTTTTCTCCGTGGTATCGAAAATGGTATCGAATATCGATATTTTTCAAGGTATCGTATCGAAGTTAGAAATTCTAGTATCGTGACAACACTAATCTCCACTGTAAAGCGGATGCGCCTTTAGAGAGAAATGCACCTTTCATATGGATTACATAATCAGAAGGTATTTGCTTTCGATTTGAATTTGTTCGTTTAAAAGTGGACATTCCAAACTTTAGCCTACATAGGCTATATTTTGTTTCAGTTCATTTCTGAGACATGTTCCAGTTCACGGAGACCATGAAAGCGCGCCTGATTGTTTTCTTTTATTTTGCAAAAGAAGAACGTTTTCTTGTTATTGTGAGTTTACACAAATAAAAGGAGTTGCGGATTATTATTATTTTCTGTATGACCATAAATGATAGAGTATTTTAAGTAGTTTCCACTGTTGACGGGAAAATGCAAGTGTTCGCGCCCGCGCCTCCGTGCTATGCAGTGCACGCTCCGCACAAACCCTTGGATATGCGTCAAAATCTTGTGTTTATTTGTGATAATCTTAGCCCTGTATTATTATTGTCTAACCTGTATTATGAATGACATTTGACGAATTGCTTTGTTCCTTTTTTGGATAAAAGCGTCTTCTAAATATGTAGCCTAATAAATGTAGCTTAATAAATGTAATAGGCAATAATAATAATAATAACTATTATTATTTGCGTTTATAACTATAAATGATTTCACTTAAGACAGTAATATGTTTATCATAAAATAATTGATGAATGTATTATTTTTATATAACCTTTTACAGTTTTGGAAAATGAGTTTGTGTTATATTTCTTTTTTTGTATGAGAAGTCTTTTTTTTTTTGCTATTCTATTATAGCCTACTGAGCTTTTTTCTCCCCCCCCCCCCCCCCCATATGTACAAATCTGAGAGCGTGGATTAGGATATCATGGGTATAGGCCTACAGTTTATTAATCCGTGGGCACGATTTGTTAAACCGATCGAGGGAACAGTTTGCACTCAACCGTGAGTAGGCTAGGCCTACGGTTTATAAACTTGAGGGGACGGATTGCAAAACCGTCGCCACAGATTTTTTTTCATTTAGGCTATTTTATTTTTTCACAGACGCTCCATATTATCTAAATGTTCCGGGTCAAAATGAAATGCAGAAATCAAATTTTGCAAAGTTGTAGGCCTATGTCAATTAGGCCTATTTGATTTTCAATTAAATAAGCAATAGGCTATATAAGGAAACGTTTCACCAGTCTAAAAACTAATAAAGAAGAAAGCATGTTTTTCGTTTTTCATACGAGTTAAAGGAAAAACGAATGGACGCAATAGCCTACACGGACCCCAAACACACGCGCCTTCTAAGTCAGGTGACTGTAATTGCGCAAAAACTGTTTCCATTGCAGTTTTGCGAAATATTCCTTTTTCGAATTGCCTGAAAAACCACCTCATGCGAGCGTAAAAACTTTTTTGCGATAAATGGGAGTTTTTGCGAAATTGACGTGTTTCCATAGAGCGTATTTTTAATTTGCAATTTCAATTTGCGCAATTTGAAGGGTAATGGAAACGTGGCTAGTGACTGCTCGCTGCTCGGCTAGTATCGATACTTCGGGAAATTAGTATTGGTACCGTTCAGATATTTCAGTATCGATATTTATCGAAATATCGATATTTTGACAACACTACGGGCTACCAAAATCTGAAGAGAGCTATCTAAAATCTGAAAAGTGCTACCAGCGATTTTGAGAGCCCTGTAAATCTACCCGAGTTTTTATATCAAGAGAAAAATATCCCAGGATAATAACCTAGCATCTCTTGAGACTCCCCTGCTTCACAGCACAGTTAATGATATGCGTAAGCCCCGCCCCGTCTTAATCTGATTGGTTACCTTAAGGTAGTTTGTGACGTCAGAAACCCCAGCGCTTTCAAACCGTGTTTTTGAGACTGTCTTTGGTTCACTGCAGTTTTAAGGAGAAAATACTCAGCAATGCTGTCGAATTTACACCTAAGTTACACATTTTTAATGATGGAAAATGGATTTTCACCACAGGCTGACTTTAAACATACTGCCATAACACCATATCTCTACAGAAACCTAACCTACGGTTGTGCTGGATTCACAAGTGTGTATAACCGGTGTGTGTGTGTGTGTGTGACAATGTTTTTCAATTCACCAAGTCATTCGGTTTAAAAGATCGCGGATGTTATTACCCTTCAGTGTTTATATGTGAACGCTCGCGCTGCTCGTCACGTGAGCGGATCGTCATACTGAGATCACGAGGGTTTAATAATCCTGGTTTAATCAGGCAGTTTCCGAAAGATTCGCCTTTCGGGGTTTATAATGCAGAGCTGGAAATGAAACTCACCTCCGAGTATCTGTGTGAAAGTGTCTCTGTGGAGATTCCTCAGGTGTTTACAGAGCAGCTCCACCTCAGCAGGAACTCTGCCCCCGAATACACTCACGGAGTCGTTCATCTTATTCCCGGAGTCGCTCATCTTCTGTAGAGACGCCGATGAGGAGATGGAACACTCTCTGGCAGGATCCTAGACGAGCTCTCCTTCTCCTTCTCTTGTTTACTGGCGATCCACTCTTTAGCGGCATTATCGCCACCTACTGTACCGGAATAATTAAACTCGCATGTGTCTGAAGTTTAACATCTGTTTCCTTCTCGGCCTTCTCCAGTTCACACACACACACACACACACACACCCTCATAGAGCCTCGTGTTCAGCTCTGTCCACACTCAGATTATTATAATCTATAGACATGTAATTAGTGTTCTGTAAAGCTTTCTGTCCAAACCTTTTCCTAAAATATCCTCATTCTTCATTCTGTCCTTCCCTTTCTTAAAGTGACTAAAAGAATAATATCACAATTTGATATATTTCCTACACATAAAAGGAACATGACACACCACACACATCGCATACTCAATTTTTATGTTTACCCATAAATGCCAGAGTTGAATTTAATCCCGTGTGTCCCAGTCTTAGTCTAGGCAGCTATACTATTAATGTCTGTGTGAAACTATAACACCATCTCCCTGTGCTACTGGCATCTAGTTCGACAATTCATTAACTTGTTCCACGTCAGATTAGAAGATGCTGTCATTTATCTTGTTAAGTTAGTTTCTAGTAAAATATAGTGTAAAGAAGGTGTTGTGTGTATATTCTGTCTTGGCACACATTAATGCTCAGCCCCAGCGCTGCCATGCAGATTCACAGATCCAAGCCATTATCACCCAATATTCACTCATAGCTGGACACACACACACACACACACACACACACACACATCTGGGTGTGTAAGAGCTTCAAAGGGTCAATAAACGATATATTTTAACTCGTGTACTAACAAAGACATTTTCCCACCTCCGTTTTAGATTGTTATATTCAGTGATTCCTAATTTCGATTCCAATGAGGTAAAAAAAAAACTTAGATATCATGTAAGGGTTAATGCCCTCCGAGGTGTCTATTGTCAGGTTTTAATGGACGACGGCGAGGTGTGAACCGGCCAATGGAGGACGGTTGCCTCCGCCGAAGTCCATTAAAACCTGACAATGGACACCTCGGAGGGCATTAACCCGCTTATACCATGGTCACTTGCCAAATAAAACATTTTTAAAACATTAGTTTATATTTTAATTAGGCTAAATTTAGTTTTTTCAAATAATAACTTGCCTGACAATTTATTTAGCAACTTGAGATATATAGTCCGCTCAGCTTGTAGAACCCTTCAGGTTCAAAAATGCATTTTTTTCCCATGAAACACAAAGGTAGGCATAGTTATTTGTTTATTACACATAAAACACTATGTGTTACACTAGTCTACACTAACCACAGCCTCCGAAGCACCGCTGTAGGTCGACTCTCCGATGCTGGACTGGAGAGCCGTCAAATAATGTCGGTGACAGGCCATCGGTGCGAGAGCAGTCTGCGGGCTTACTGGGCTCCGTCAGTCCGTGAGAGACTGAAGATGAAATAACGAAGTCGCTCATTGTTGTATTAGTAGGCTGTGTAATATCTAACTAACGTCAGATGTTTGTTTTGATAGAGCAAATTGTTAACGGATACTTTGACTGCCTGTTGCTATGGTTACTCACAGCTGTTGTAGGCAGCGCATTTATTTATTAATTTCGAATGGTACACAGGCAGTTTCACCAGAACTCCTTTAGGTGTCCTCTATCACTTTTTAACGGACACCCTGCAGCCAATCAGAATCGAGTATTCACCCAGACCATGGTATAATCACACTTAGTCTTTACAAAACATTTAATTGTAGCTGAATATCATGGACAGAAATATAACCTTTATTTAACCAGGAAAGAGGACTCACTGAGATTAAAATCTCTTTTACAGGAGTGTCCTGGCCAAGATGAGTTTACATCAAAGTTACGACACATAAACATAAACAACAGAAACATCATTACATAGACATAATCGAAATCAACAGGCTGAAGAACTCTTACTCAAGGAACGCCTGTGGTTTATAAACACCATAGAAGAACAACTAGCATAACTATAAACATGTCAAGCATTATTAAAGACAAGTAAACACACATAAAAATGTAACAATCACAACAAATAGAGAAAACTGAACAAAGATATGAATAAAATAAACAGTGTTTTAAGATTTTCAAGTATTCAGGTACAGAAACTATAATCAAATGTAAAATCACACAGTAGTTAATAAATAAAATATACATTACAAATATAGTTACAAAAGTGATTCAGTAAATAACGAGTGAGCTTTCCCTTTGTCTTCTGCTGTTTGATTAGTGTTATTATAGAGGGCAGCAGGGATGTATAATACAGTAAACCGTAGACTGAGCTGTGAGCGTGGCCCAGCCCGGCTCGGGTCCGCAGTTCTATCACTCTTTACTTCAGACGGAAAACAAAACATCAGCAACACTCGAGATGAGTGTGTCACAGGGTAACTCAAACTCGCCTCGGGAGGCAATACACACGGGTAATCCACAACAGAAGAGATCTCCTTAAACATGAGTCCAGGGGTCCGTGCTCGTACGTCGCTAACGCTAACTCACTTAGCTGGACTTGATTGTTGGTGATTTGGTATGATCTTGGATTGTTTGGTTGAAACTTAGACTGGTTCTCGAGTGGAACCGGTTTTCAATTCCCATCCCTACACATGTTCTTTTTGAATGTTTTTTAGCTCCAGTAGGCTCCAGTATTAAACTAGTATGTGTTTTTTAATCTCCGTTAGAGTATTGAATTAGCGCTGCTGTCTGTGACTGTATGTGAAGTGCTCTGGGTGTGGGAAAGCTGCAGTCAGAACCCGTGCAGAACTCGGCTTTAGTGCAGCACATTAAACTACATACAAATATAAGATAGCATTTACTGGATACATGTTTTTAGGGTAGCAATTTAAACCTAAAATACTGTATACTTTCAGATACTCATTTCACTTGTTTCATGATTTTTAAGGCAAGCTATACATTGTGTAGATTTCAGATGTATTCAGCAAGTATCTCATGATGGGAATCACCCATGAGATGAGCCAGTGGCTCAAATATAATTGCGATTTGGAAGGGACTCTGTATCATTGACACTGTCATGTTCTGAAAGTGAATCTACAAGGTACCGATTACTAAAACACTATAAATCGAACCATGGCCATTATGGTCAGGGACACTCCAGATATCCATGCACATACGAATGCCCATGCTCATTCAAAACATGGAATGCACTTAGAACTCATTTGAGTCGATGTCATGTTGATGTTTTACATTTAAGGACTACAGATAGGGTTGCCACCCGTCCCTTAAAATACGGAATCGTCCCGTATTTGTGAAATAAACAGCGCGTCCCGTCTTGAATCAATACGGGACGCGGTTTGTCCCGTATTTCCGAGTTGTCTTAAATGCATCATCACATGCAAATCATAACACCCGCATTCTGTGAAGACTCGTCCTATTCTACCCTTGATTGGGTAATACTCGCTGCCATTGTTGGTTTGATTGGTTTGTTTAATAACATCAGGTTCAGGGCCAATCAGAGTCAGAGGAGGGCGGGTCTTTTGGCAGAGAGTTGATAGCAATGCTAGCTTAGAGAAATCAAAGCACCGTCTCACAGTTCTTCATACGTTAAGGATCTCCCGAAGCAGATAGTCATAGTGTAATGACAGTTTTTTAATCAGCTCAATAATGTTCTGATTGATTACGTTTTCATATGCTCCATACCCTATGCCCATTTGCTAAGAAATAATGTTTCAATGTAAATGAATTATATCCATACATTATGGTATGATTTGTTTATTATAGTTAAGGTAGTCAGACACATGCATTTTTTAAATAAGAGAGAGAGATATTTAATAGGCCTACATATTTAATAATAAAAATGTGCATGTGTGAAGAAAATGACTTATGCTTAACAAATCTAGAGAATAGGTCAATAGGTCTGAATACATAAATAAATAAATACATAAATAGATTTTCTTACCAATAATAAAAATAGTGTTATAATTAAATTTAGAAATGTTTGTAGATTATAGGTTATTTATGTGTGGTATCACTGTTTGGATGGTGTTACATGTTTGAAAAAAACAGCTACTCGGTGCTGCATGGAGTGACAAGTACACTTAACGCCTATAGTCCAATACTGCACAGTACTACTGGTCTACTGATGTTTTTGATGTTCAAGATCCTTTGCTAAAGTCATAGTTTTTTCCAATCAAATTTAGTATTTGTTTGAATATCAACACATTTGTTTAATTTATAGTGAATAATTTATGGATCTGTTAATTTAATAAGTTAATAAGTTAACATCTCACATACAACTCCGACGAAAGGCCATTTTTTTTGTAATCTCATTGTCACACTTTGTTAACGTTGTTTGTGATAGAGAGTGATTTATTCACAATGATTTCAATAGCAGATAGCTTATTATAATGTCCATTGGTATGATCTTATTACTTTCCTGAAAAATATGTTTTGAGTTATGATACCATTGGCATACCGTCGGGCCTGTGGTCATTGTGGCCCTGAGGGCTTTGGCCCCCGCTGCGGCCGCCGGCAGGCGTCCCTTATTTTTTTGTATTGAAGGTGGCAACCCTAACTACAGAACAAGTAATATTGACATGCCTTTTGTGTCCAGGAAGTGAAATAGCATCTAGTAGAGTACTTTTCTCATGTAAACAACCATCTGAGGAGTTATGAAACCGTAACTTGTGTGTTTGAAAATTGTTATTTTCAAACCAATATATATGCCTATAAGAGTAGGAAGCACATTGCACTATAAAAGACTTGAACGTTGGACTGTGATACACATGGTGAGCATCAACTATCTGAAAAGCATGCAACTGCTGAAATTGCTTCTGATTTAGATTGTGACAACTGGATTAAAGCTGAGGCAGAAAATGAGAACTTGCAAGACACAATAATTAAAAAAATGGGCATCAGTCCTTCTAAAATTAGAGACTTTGTCACGTGTACCAAGCTCTGCAGTTGAGGAGTTC